CATCTGTGAACAGGCCAAGCGGCTGATTTTGTTACTGTGCATGCCCTATTCTGCAAGTTTCCATCGCCCAGCAAAGATGCATGAGCCATTCTCTGTGAGCTTTTCATCTGCCAGGTAGCTTGTAGGAATTGAAGTAGTTCTCCCAGCAGATGACAGAACTCAGTGCAGGACACAGAGAAATGAAAACACAAATTCAGGAGGCTACCGGCCAGTAATACCAAGCAAGTCTGCTAGAAACTGCATTACGTAGAAAATATATGTAAAATTAGGATGCTTCTCACCCAAATCCCATTGTAAATATCACCAGCATATACAGCCCTATTCTACCTTCATCTAAAATTCAGGATATGGATGACTCCATTTTCCAATCTGCAGACAATTGATGACATTTACCACTGCTTACCCAAGAGCTTTATAAATGTTATTGACAAAATATAGATTATTTTTGTACACCTTTTCAATTTTCTCTACCTCTCTTGGAAGCCTTTTTTATGACGGTACCTCATAGCTGAGCACCAAGAGTCTGGATGGTAATTAAAATACACAGAGTGAGTCACTCTACCTATATTCATCTATTCAAGCCACAACACAGTTATTAAAAAAACCCCAGGATTCATAATATGGATTTAGAGCTTTGACAGCACAGCCATTCTACTTAGCCACCTTTTATTATGGATCATTATTTTAATGCTGATTTAATCACACTTAAATCCTATGGGGCTACTTCAAAACCCTGTCTAAAATGGAGACATAATTTCCTCTTAAATAGTTAATCAACTTGTCAATATTTTCATCACATTCACTTCACTACCACTGCAACCTTGCCTTGCCTGTTCAACTTTAATTTTATAAGAGCTGTGTATTACATTTCAGCCCCATATAGGTAACATACAGGAGCAGAACATGTTTTAGCTAATTAATGCTTCTGTAACCAGAGTTGATGAAAAATGTGCATCAAATATTTATATAATTGGCTCCCTGAAGAAGTAATGCCTTGTTCTGAGTGCTGAGAGACTGAAATACAAAGTCCAAAGACCTAGAGCACAAAAGACTCCAGTTTTTTTCCAATGCTCCATTACTCTGTATCCTCCTTGGCATCAGGAGGCATTCATTAACAGGGATAATGGTCTAGGACTCATATTAAATTTCCATATCCTTTGAAAATTAATGTTAGCTACTATTAGGCTTTCCTCTGCACTTTGGATGAATGAATATTTTGAGGCAATTAAATGTCTATACTGAGAGCCTGCAAAGTGTCTCACATGTACTAAGGGCATGAGATGTTTTCCTGGGAGTATCCACAGAGCACACTGTGGATATGTGGATTATGGAAAAAAACAACGCAATTTTTTTTTCAGGTTTTAAATACTCCTGAATTAAGCAATATACACGACATCATTTTGGCTATGCTTTGTCCTTAGCAGCTGACAGGAGAGAAGGCCTTCTCGCACTGACAAATAAGGAAGCACATTAGTGCAACAAAACAGTGCATTTTAACCCCATAAATAAAATATACTGCAGCACTATAAGCTTTTGAGTCAGGCTGGGGAGGTCGTGGGAGGTTTGTTTGGCTGGCTGGGTTTTTAAGTTTACGTGGATTTTCTCCACAAAAATTCAAAAATATGCCTTAGGATATCAAGCAGAAAAATCCAATGACAACCTCCATTATCAGTAATATTAATATCAGCATTGAGGACCTTAAGGACTTCCTTTCCCCTCAAGCGTAATGTAATCAAGGGAGTTCAGTGAGACATTTTGGAAACAATACTAGCTCAAAAATTGAGGTTAGATGAGCTTCTTGGAGGATAATTTACACTTCGTTTTAGAATTGTCAACATCTTCCCCTTGAAATAATATTTCCTCTCCCAACTGCTACTTAGCATAGTACATTTCACTTCCAATGTGCTCGAAAATGATCCAGCTTTGTCAGAATGCCAAGGCACATCTCCAGTGTCTTCTTATTCCATACCTTTTATGCCTTACCATACATAATACTAATTGAAAATGGTGTGTGTTGCATTTGCAGTCATTAAGGCAAAAGTAAAATTCAAATTTAAGAGAATGACTAGTTTCAGATTAGGTGAAACACAATTATCAGTTTCCTCAGGAACAAATAACAAACAAACAGAAACAAAACAAAGAAAAACAAAGCAACAACAAAGGTAAAGGGAAATTTAAAAAAAAAAAATTAAAAACCAAAACAACAAAACCCCAGGAATATTGTATTAAGAGAAATTAAAGTTTCTCTGGAGGACAACAATAACAAATGATAGAAAGTTATTAGGAAGTTGAAAATGTAGTCCAAAATTCCTTAATTCACAAATAATAACTGAGTGAATGAAGACAGTCCATAGTTTTGCCTATTTTCCACAAATTCAAAAACAGCAATATGCCTCTCTCCACATACAAATTATACATCTTGATGTTTTTCTTGTCCTCTTCTTTTACACATTTGACAATAAAAGTGAGAACGGTGTTTATCCCTAATTATCAAACATATAACAATCATAATGCCACATTTTAGCAAACATATTAACATATTAGCAATTCTCACTTTTCCAAAACAAGACAGCTGCAAAAATAAAGATTTTTAAATAGTTGTAACTCTGTCTTGTGTTCCTAGAGATGAACTTCCTGGTGTCTAAAAGGTTTAAACCAACAAAACCAGCTTCTGAGAGAACTCCCATGTCCGGTTGGTAGACTCAAACCATTCCCTGATTCTTTGATTCATGACATCCCATCTTTCTTAAATTAGTGGATTTTCTTGCAAAACCATAGGAAGATGATGTAACACAGAGAAACCAGGCCTGCTCCAAACCTAGGGCCCGAAAGTGGAATCCCTCTAATATTTACCTTTGCAGCCAGATCAGACTTATCTCAAAACCTGGTCCAGAGTATATATTAGAGAATATATCTCAACTTACAATAGTATTATATTTTAAAAATCCATTTCTTATATTAGCACTGAAATGAACAACAACAAACTAAAAAACCTCCACCAAACAAACATTCAGTTCAGCATAATCCACTAGAAATGCAGTAGTTGAAAGTCCACTGTGCTATACAAAAATACAAATGCTGCTTTAAGGCTGTTCTCAGTGTAATTAATTTATAGACACATATTTTTTTCCCAGGACTAAAAGCGGAAGCTTTTCCCATATCAGCTCAACACACAATTTTAATCCACATATAAGGACACTTGTGCCTTTCACATGTGCTTACCCAGCATTTTCTAGGAAATTCACAGCAAGAAAGGACAGAACCTTCAGCACATTCCTACAGGAGTTAACTAACAGAAGAAAAAAATCAGTGAAGTGAGAAAAAGAAAAGGAAGTAAAAGCCACAGGTCATGGGCAGGGAAGAAAAAGGATAAGGCATGGTCCTTCCAGCCCCTTCCAGTTTCTCAGGAGATTCTGAAAGGGAAAACTTTTTTCCCCTTTTGATTAGACAGCTTGTGTGTTGGGAAGGACAGGAGGAGGGGTGGGGGACAGGATTGACTCCATACATACACAGTTAGAGAAGTGATGCAATAGCTTTTTTTTGTAATTTTCAAAATCAATTCATTTTTTCCATAGAAGAACTAATAAACAATTTCCTGTGAACTTCCCAGTTCATTTACAAAAAGCCTTTTTCTCTTCATAGTGAAGACTGTGACAAAAAGGGTTTTTTTATCAACACTTTATGGCATCATTTATCACTTTGTATATTATTTAAGAACATGTGCCATCACTTGGAAGAAGGCCAAAACAAAATTTGTATCCAGCTGGACTTAGGGTAAGCAACGAGTCAAATAATCAATTCCAAATCTCCTGCTTGACTTTTTGGGTTCTGATGAAATTCAGAACTGAAAGGGGTCTCCAAAAACAGCTGTTCTCCTGGGTTTTATGCAATTTGGTTATAAAAATCATAGGAGTAGGATGGTCATGTACTGAACCATAACCCCAGGGCACAGCATAAAAGAATCAGGATCTGAAATCACTTTTTTCTGCTCAGTGCAAGGATGGCTCACCCAGGCTGTGCAGTGAAATACAACCCAGAGCCACCTGCAACTCAGAACATTAAGCAAGGAAAATTTTAAGAGTCAAAAGACTTTTCTATTTCTTTCTACTCCTGCTAGTGATTTAATATGCATACTCTATGCCAAGCCAGTCAGTCTCAAATTTTCAGATTCAGTCTGTGATTTGCTCCATGTTTTGGAAGTGTTGACTGGTTGCACTGGAAGCAACACAAGCTCTAAATTCTCAGCAAGTACAAAAAGGTGCTCTAAATCTCTCAAATTTGGTGTCAAGAACAACAGAGCACCTAAAACCAGAACCCAACAGGAATTTCCTTTCATTCGATATAAATATCCATGACTTTCAAAGGGGCACAGAGGGATAGCACAGAGCTCAGTGCAACAACATGGGATTTGGAAGACCTGTGCTCAACGGACTGACTGGCGACAGCCAAGTAAAATAACCACAGCTCCCAGCTGATGTGAGCATAACGTCATTCCAGCACCACACACATGGGAGGATAAAAACAGCATAGGCTGGGATCTTCTCTTGTCAAAGCATAGGGGCTGCTCATTTCGTGGGTGGAATGAAGGACACAAAACTTAGATATGGCAGAGAAGAAAGCTCAGAGTCACACTGAAAATATTGTAAGGAAATACGAAATGTCTTAGCAGTGTTCCAGCAAATTACTTAAGAGATACTTTCTTCATTTTAGCAATATTTAAGTTGTTGGGGTTTTTTTTGTAAGAAAAGTGTGTCTGCTGCATGCCATAAGAACATTTAGATAAAGAAATATGTTTTCACCTGAAGTAAGATTGAAATTTCTATTCAACACTACATTAAACAATAATAACCACCACATCTTTCTCAGGCAGAAAGGGCCAAGCAACACAAACACACCCTGGCCACCTTCTTAGCTTCACACCGTATTTCAGGCATCCAAAGTGTCCATTATCCATCGGGACACCTGATGCCACATATAAGGTGCAAATCTCTCTCTCTTACCTCGGGGTCTTTCTCGATCTCCAGCCCCGCTTCCAGCAGGTTGCGTTCATACTCCTCCCGCTGCAGCCGCCTCTCCTCCTCCGAGGCGTCCAGTGGGCTGAGCTCCGCTGCCTCCAGGCTGGGCAGCCCTGGCCACTCCTGCAGGGCACGCTGGCCATCGTCCTGCTGCTGCTGGGGCTCGGTGCAGCCCTTCCCGGTGCCTCCGTTCGAAACTAGGGTCACAGAGGCAGATCCACACCTCGGCTCCGGGGAGATGGCAACGGGCACATGCTGGGCCAGGCGTCTGCGGTAGTGGTAAGCCAAGACATAGTCGACCTTCCTCTTGCTGTCCCTGAAGTGCAGGCCACTCGGGGAGGCCTTGTCCCTTGCCCCTGCCTGGGTCCCTTCCACATAGTTGTTGATAATCTGGGAGAGAAAGACGGGAGTTGCACAGACAAGAAAGCCAAAAAGCCCCCATAGGTGGGGAGGTCTATCTCCACACGAGCACATGAAGCCACTAAGAACCCAGGTATGACCTACAAATACTAATTCTGTACACCAGCCTCACTTCATTCCTCTGATTATAAACTAAACATAGTTTAGTTTAGTTTATCCCACTACTTGGGATCCCTACGGAAGAGCATGTATGGAGGCAAACCCCAACTCTGTTACCCTGTTCTGCACGTGCACAGACCAAGGGGAGAGAACAGCCGCATTATAAAAGGGGACAGAGAAGTGAGAGTAAGGACCACATTACAGGCTATATGCCATATGCTGTGGAGCAAAGCAGGCAGGGAAGGGAAGCAAAAACAGTGTTGGAAGGGAAGAATAGGAGAAATGTATTTAATGTGGTTCAAGGTCCAGAAGGGCCAGGCTGGACAGAAACACTTTGGAAAATACCAGGGATTAGAAAGGATATGTCCCATGAATGGCTAGCCATGCTAGCTTGTATTATAACATATGAAAAGACTTTGTGACTGACCACTAACACTGCAAAAAGGAATCCACAGCTAAAATCCTTCAAACCACCTGTGTTGCATCCAGTCAGCCCCTCAGACCATCCCTGCTTCATCAGCTCCCTCTTAGAACCTTTCTGGGATGCAGCACCAACAGTAATCCTGCCATCACTCCCCAGCCTGGATAGGAATTCTGCAGCATTCATGTGGAAGTATGAGGCATTCACTCACACTTCCCACTCATTAAAGGCAGCCCATGAGTTTTCCAAACTGTTTGCAGCCACCATTTCCAGCACAATGCTGCCATGTAAAGCCCTTCAGAGGGCCCTCTAGAGTGTTATTCACTGGAGTGACACTAGCCCTCCAGTGATGGGGGAAAAGATAAAAGCAAGGGTCAACCTGATTCAAAGCAATCATCCTGTAACCTAATTCCAAACATTTACAGTTCCCATAGGTGACTGCACAAACAAAATCTTAGCAGGTACCAGTCAAAGTTTTCTTTCTCTCTTTTTCTCCCCTTCCTTGCATGTGTTGGTAGTGCTGAATGCAAAGTTAACCACTTGCTGTATGGCAATTATCTTGTTTGTTAAAACAACACAAATTTATGAATGCATTATGTAAACAGGCATATTATTATATTAATCAATATCACCAGATTCTTGTTTTTCATTGTTTTGCTTCACTTAGTCTCCCACAAAGCAGCTTTCAGTCATCATGTCACTAAATAAGCCTTGGCTTTACATGTATGCTATGTCCTTAATCCTTTCATAAAATTACCACTGAGTAATCTGTTCTGCACATCACACTTATCACATCCTTCATGTCTAAAGTATATATACAGTCCCTTTAGACACATCCAAAATTATACTTAGCACTACATCGTGGCAGAATATAAAACTGCCTTTGAGACATCATTTTATTGCAATTCCCCATTTCCTGATTAGATACATTTTCGTGTATTACTCACAGGCAGCCCATGCAAACTCTCCAGATCCATCTCTGCCCCAGTGAGGTAAAACCTGTGGCAGATTTCTAGTGTCCCTCCCAGAGAATTTCAGGCTATACAGTGCAGAAGGAATGATGTCACCACAGCAGGTCACTGGCGCAAGGCAAGGCATTAGCTGGCTCTAGAGAAAATGAGCTTTGAGGAGCCTCTCCTCCCTTACTGGAGAGTGGGGGCAGAAACAAGAACTATGAACAAGAAGCAGGAGAGGGAACAAGGAGGTTGTAGAATGTGAAAATCACGCCAAGGTTTTCCTGTTTGTTACTGTGTGGAGCCACCTGCCACATCCTAGCCACCTGAGAGAGAGCACCATAGCAACACTTGGGGTTGCTGGAGTTACACAGGGGATGAGGAGAGTTAACAGTGACTCCCTCTCCATGGACTCTTTTCCTCACTCTTGGCAGCAAGGTGCCATCCCCATAATTATGGGTGTCCAATTCAGGGAAAACTAATCAAAATTCCCACAGATTACACTAAAGACATTTCCTGCCCCTAAATTCACACTGCTTGCCTTACCATGTGACATTCTGGCACAAGAAGACTTTTTTATGGAGGAACACAAAAAGTCACAATTTCAAAAATGCCTCTGAAGGAGCTATCAAGATCTTTCTCTCCTCCTCTCACAGCCATTGTAAAACTCAGAAACAGTGATATAAATGACCAATTTTGGTCCTGCTTTCACTGCTTCTTGATATTTCCAAGACAAGAAACCATCACACCCAGGAATAAGAAAACAGGAAGATAGGATCAGCATTTCATTATGATTTTGTTCTAGTGTTCTGATAGCAAATATATCAATACTAATACATTCCAAATGTGCCTCCTCTAATGACAGCTCTCCTCTGAACACTACAGCCACACCACACTTCCACTGGGAATCAATCCAATCCAGCCCCCACTAGTACCTGGTCACAGCTGACTCAGGGTTGACACAGGCACACCCAATGTAGTGATCAACCTGCAGACCTTTTCTGCCACTGCAACCCCCTCCATTCCTGCTCTGAAGGATTTTGGCTAAAGTAAACAATCCAGAAATTTTGGTGAGATTACTACTGCAGAAATTAATTCTTGCTCTACACAGAGTGTGGTATCACTTTTCTCATAAAGATTCTTCTCCCTGTTCTGATTTAACCCACACACAGGAGAATGCACCCTGCTTTTCTCACTCTGCTTCCAGCCTCTTCATAATCCCAAATGCACTTGACCTAGGGCAATGAACATGAAACCCTACTTACAGAACTTCTGTAGGACACCACTGATGCTTCAAGAGCTCCATTGGTCCCACTTCTGTGCCAGGAAGTCCGGTTCTGAGGAACAGTGAGGTATTTGCTGTTGTAGGCTGAAAAAGAGTCCCTTGCTGATTTTGCTGTCTTCTGTCCATTAGGAGTTGGGAGTGAGGAGGGTAGAGCAAAGTCTGAGAAGGAGAGATAAATACATAGAGCAGGTTTTGTACAGGTGGTTCCCTAACAGAATAGGAGGTACTGTCGTCAGCAGACACTATTCATTTCTAGTGATTTGAACTGATCCAGTGGCATCAGGGTCAAACTTGTGGATCGTGGTCGTTCTCCATAAAGAATTCTTTACGCATGTGAAATGCTCATCAAGTATATCTAAGATTATACCTACATGTTCTGGTCTTAGAGGGTAATGTCTGGAATTTTTAGACATGCTCCCCGTCTCTTGTGTTTGACAAATTACATGGTCACAGTGCAGAATAATGGAGGGTTTGGAAATCATCACAGAATCACCAATTGTCCTGGGTTGGAAGAGACCTGAAAATAATCTCATTTCTATCCCCACTGCCATGGGCACAGACACCTTCCACTATCCCAGCTTGCTCAGAGCCCCATCCAACATGGCCTGGAACACTGCCAGGAACAGGGCAGCCACAGCTGCTCTGGGCAACCTGTGCCAGGGCCTCTCCATCCTCACAGGGAAGAATTTCTTCTGGATATCCAACCTAAACCTGCTCTCTGTCAGTATGAAGCCATTGCCCCTTGTCCTGTCACTCCAGGCCCTTGCCAAGAGTCTCTCTCCATCTTTCCTGTGGGCTCCCTTCAGGCACTGCAAGGCCACAATGAGGTCACACCAATGCCTTTTCTTTTCCAGGCTGAACAATGCCAATTATCTGTTACTGTCTTTCTTCACAGCAGAGCTGCTCCATCCCTCTGATTCTCTTGGAGACCTCCTTGCTCCAACAGGTCAATTCCATACTGGCAGTAGCATGGTGAAAAACGCTAATAAAAACCAGTGGATGCAGAAACTGTTTTGACACACAAATGTTTCATACTCTTTCCCCCTCTAGTGGTGCCGCAGCTGAAACGGGGTTGACTGATCCATACTCTCATTCTCTTGGAGAAACGCTTAGAGGGAAAACCCATGTCTTGGTCCTTCCAGCATTAGTGTTTTACACCCAGGAGAAGACATGTGTACACATCTGTCTAATGGTCAGCACCATCACCACTACAGAGACAATACACCACTGCCTCTGTCTAGTCACGACTTTTCTCCAGGAAGAAGAAATAACAGCTCCCATCTATCCAGGGAGACACCACATCCATTGTGTACTGCTAAGTCTGGAAGTTGTATTTCCCCCTCATTTAGCTGAGACCCTTCTATTCCCTATACTCAGACTGAAACTGCTTCCCCATCACCACATTCTGAGAGAGGAGACAGTAGAATGCTAAAGAAGAAAATGCTTGGAGGAGGGTGTCTGACCCCGAAATGTTATGATTATTCTTATATTTCCTATCAATACCACATTAGGGTCCAGCAGCACTTGAATAGTCCAGCAGATTGACTCACTACTCTTCCTTGTCTGATCTCCTGAGCAGACTTTTGATTGGCTCTCTTTAATGAAGCACATAATAATGCCATGAGGGAAACTCCAATAAAAATAATTAATAAGTGGAGGTTTCATTTCCGAAGGCCACACACAATATTTCTTCAGTATTTTCAGACTGAGTCTGGGATATCTTACAAGACCTTTACACAGTCAATTAAAGACCTCTTTTTCTTTCCAGTCCTTTTAACTAGGCCTAGGGAAAAAGCTGCAGTTCATTTACAACATGATTTCATCTGCATTATGCTTCCCAACCTCTGGAATCTGTGTCACAAACCTGAGATTAACACTGGTAAACTGGTGAGGCAGTCAGGGAGTCCCTGACAGAACAAACTTCTTCATGGAAATGCAATTGCCATATCTGTATGTGGAGGACTCCTGTTCTCCCAAAAGCTTTTCAACTTCCCAAATTAGACCAATTGAACCAAAATATTTTGTTTTGAATTCTTTCCACATTTGACAGGACCAGCCTGGTACAGCAGTGCCTCAGGGGCTTCTGCTTCAGATGTAGCCTGACCTCATTTCACTCTGTAAGCCTTTATGATATCTGGCCTTACATGTTCTCATTCTGGAGGAATTACTATGGATAGAAACAAGCTCTGTGTGTGCGTATGTGTATGAATATATACAAAAATTTAAATATGCACATATGCATAGCTTTGGTGTATATTTACATGTATATATGTATCTTCAGAGAACAGCAGTACAGAGAATCTTGACTTCAACTTGGAAAGCAAGTGTTCAGGAACTACACTCATTCTACAAAAATGCCTGGGGAGCCATCCCTCCAAGTCAAACTCCATCAAGTTGTAAACAACTTCTGAGGACAAGGTACCTCTAGGACAGAAGTCAGTGACCAGCTCCAGTTCCAATTCACAGCCAGTCAGCACCTGCTCACTCAGCCTCTGCACTCCTTTGCCTCAGCTTTTTGCAAACTTAAGGGTTGCCCACATGTGCAGCAATTCACCTTACTATTTGTGTTCCCAGATCCTCATCCAAAGTGCCACCATAAAGAAGTTGCACAGACTGCCAAAAGTGGAAAGACTGAGTGGTTTGGTCATCCAGGGCACAGACAGGGAACTGCTTTCATTTATCTTCCTCTCTTTTCAGGTAAGTATCAGAAAGGATCTGCATTTCTGAAGGACACTAGAGTTAGAAGAATATTCCTCTGCAAGGCTGTTCAAGACATCTGCAATTTAGGAGCATTGTTTGGCAAACTCCAACCCCCAAGTAGGGATGAAAAAAACCCTACTTGAACTTATTGTTTCCTTGTAGCTTCACTCAAACATCTTTTTCAAAGGACATATATATATGAAAATATGGTTATACCTATGCTCTTCAGGTTCCCAGTAAATAATGACTTCTCAGCTCTGAATGTAGATGAAGAAGCTTGGCTCGTGCCAAAATTACGGCTTGTGCACATCTCCTCTAAACTCAACTATAGTAAAGCATGATTTCCTCCACTGTGTCTTCAAAACCACCATTTTAGAGCCTTTTAAGAATATAGGAATTAGACAAGGCTATTTGGGTTGTCTCTAATGCCATTTAATTTGCAGCTTGTGTGTTCAGGGCTCACACATTTCCTCTCAGACTGCAGGAGGAAAGGGTAAAACAACAAACCCTGACTAATGCTGGACTAATCTGGACAGCCTGGGTGCATCTGCCCATCTGAACCCCATGCCAACACTCGGTTTGAAATGTCCTGAGCCTCAAGGACACCCAGCAGGAGAATCTCTTGGGTAGGACTCAGAATCTCAGTTGCATTTCTCTACATTTGGCTGTACATAACACAGATATCCTCTGCCTTCCAACCTCCAAATATGATTAGAGAAGAAATACTCTTTATAAAGAGAACCATCCAGTTCTGAGTTTAGTTATGGGACTGATTTTAATACAAGCAGTTGAGCAGCAGGGGACTAAACACCTAAATAGTTCTTGAACAATTATAAAGAGAGAAATACAAGATAGCTAAAATTTAAAGGTCAAATTCTATCCTTCTATTATTCAAATAAGGGGTTTGAAGTTCACAGCAGAGATACAGCCCCAGAAACAATGAGATAACATGGAAACAACCACAGAGCTTTTGACTGCGACAGCGAAAGAACAATGACTCAACATCAGCAGTGAAAGTTATTCTAAACTCATACACTGGGAACTCCAGAATGAATGTTTTATGCATTGAGCAGATTTGCTCCTTTTGTATGGGAATTGAGAGCTCAGGGCTGCCCATTTTCTCCTGGAAAAGGATATTGTTCACTCCCCACAGTTGCACTGCAATACAGCAAATGCAGGGGGAAACAGCAGAAGACCAGCACAAGGCATTTGCCTAGTGATTGTCTTTTCCACATTTGTCACAACAGTGACCCACAGCTGCTCTTCTGAGACTTCAGGAGAAGTGAACTCTGCATGTTTTATCTCTGAGCTCTCTGTATGTAACTGGGCTGCAGATTTCTCTTGCTTCCCCCTCACTAAAAGAAGACAGAGAAGTCCTTCCAAAGTACTCCTTTCTTTGTTCTCCATTCCGTTTTGGCCTATCCCTCTTGATAGGTAGCAATAAGAATGAAACAGAGAAAAAACTTACCAGGCATGTGTGTTTCCATGTTGCCTGGAGGTTTGGCTGGAAATTGTGTCAGTGCTAAAATAGGAGTGGCTATGCCGTACACAATCTGCTTCTGCACTGGCTTAAGGAGAGAACAGCACCAGCAGCTATTTCCATCCTGCCTTGATCCTGCTTTAAGCAAACCACAAACTGAAGCTAATCAGCACGACCTTCTGGTTTGGTGATTACCATCATGGAGGGAAGAAAAGGAGAAAGACCAAATTCCCATGACCTGAAAGGCCATGGCAATTCTTTGCTGGAACTTCAGCACTTTGTCTTCATTCTCCATAACACCTCAAGAAGCAAGGTAACAACAGGCATATTTTGTCCAGAAGGCAGTGGTGAGGAAGGAAAAAGGCTAATGCAGAACCAGGGCTTTACAGCAGAGCCAGCTCTGTCCAAAGAATCAGCACTCACGGATCAGATTGTCTTGGAGGTAGTTTCTGTGTCTTTATATCTACAAAGCTTCAGAGTGCTCCCAGATAGGAGGTAAGTGCAGAAAGCTTTTTATAAGGTTCTGTTTCAAGTACTCAAGTTACCTCAGTGCCTGGATGCACCATCATTCCTGCATGAAATATTCAAGGGATTATCTTGTAATCAATGGTCTAATCAGAACAGGTGATGGATCCTGCTTAGCCTTCAACCTTGCAATTTAAGCAACATATAGGGAAGAAAAGTTGTTGATGACCAATGCCATCTGAAAAAGGACTCTTATCTGCTAATAATAACTGGAGAGAGAAGTAACTAATTTGAGTCCAAATCTTTTCCTTTTTTTTAAGCCTGTTTATGACACTACGATGGTTTTTCTAGTGTGACAGGGATAAATGGATTTATTCAATGCCTGAATAAAGTTCAGTGCTTCTATGACCTTGTAAATCAGGATAGTGCACTGTGTCATGAAGTTGTCTCTGTCACAGAGAGATGTGCTTATGCACCCTGGCTGTGCTATCAAACCTGCTGTGTACATAAAGAGAGCAGTGCAGCTGTTGTTTCCCAAAACTTGGGCTGGGCGATGTAAAATTTTCCCAGCAAAACTAAGAAATTTGTATGGGATTTTAAATTTATTAGATCCCCCCACTCTTCTTGGTCCCTACTTTGAAATGGCATTTCTTATCTTCTAACCAAAATATCAACAGGTATAAAATACTTTGTCCTTTTTACCCTGCTAGTATCTTATAGTACTCTCAGAACTTCTTTCAGAAGTTTTAAAAACAATTAATCTGTTTCCTAGACAGGGAACAAATCTCCTGCTTTCTACACCTATCTCAGGGAGACGGAAATTAAAATGTTCTGAAACTTTTGCTATTTTCCATCCACAATCTATGCTGCTCCAGCTAAGCTCAAAACCAGAAAGGCAAATCCTGGCTAATTATGGAATAGTATAGGAATATAGAGCCAGGTCCTGCTGGGATCCCTGTGGACTTATAGCTCTGCCTGCACAGGTTCCAATTAGCAGCTTCTATAAGCCATAAGGATGGGTGTGTTACAGGTAATACACTTAGCTCAGGTAATAAATAATATACACAGCAATATGAGAGGAAGTAACATCCAGCTGCTTAGAATGGAAGTAGTCTATTTTTAAGACTTTCCAACAGAGAAAATCATATCTTAGCATCACTGTCTTTCCTGAGGTACTTGGGTATGGTGTTAATTGATAATGCAGAGCTGTGACAAATAATACCAATATACCTGATTGTGTTTCACCTGCTGTGGAGGAGTGGTGCTTGCAAGTCTGTAAATTTAGCAGAGAGATTAGATGTTTTGAATTATTAAGGAGTCTTATATGACTCCTCCCCAAATCCTTCAGCATTCCTGTAAATCTATCCTATGGCACACTCAACAATCCAGCTGGTGCTCTGAAGCAGTGGGATGTGCCCCTAATCACTGGTGGACAGGTAAAGGCCAAGGTAGTTCAAACCCATCAAGGCTCACAAATAGTATGTATGACTTGGGAAACAATTTTCCTCAAAGCCTGGCTTCTGCTGCAGAACACCAATGAAGCAGTCAGGTGTAGAGTACTGTGTGATGTGTTGGCACACTTGATCGTAGGCAGAACTATGCTCTTCACTCCTGCCAGGGAGAAATGCTGCTGAAAGTATTGAAATTGCACTAATTGCAGCTGCCTGTGTGAAAGGCAATGAAACCTGCACAGAGCAGGTCTGAGCCCACTGGCTCCTTGGGCAAAAGTCAGACAGCTCTTTTGGGGCAGACTGCCTGAAAATGTTTGAATCTCATGCCAGCAAGTCAGAAATGTATTTACCTCCTCAGCCTGTTAAAGAAGATGGTATAACATTCCCTTCTGCTTTTTCTTCCCTGCCAGTTTGTTTCTACAAAAGGAAAAATCCTTTTGAAAAAAAAAAAAAAAAGGAAAGATCCTTCTGGTCTTGCTCATGACGGGGGCTTAGAATACACAGGTCTGAGTAACAACATCTAGACCACACCAAAGTCCCCAGAACACCCTGCTGTAAATAAAATCAGTAAGTGCTCTTCTCGTGGGCTGCATTGCACTGACTCATACAATTAATTATCTAATTAGAAGACCTGTCTGCAGCCACAAAGCCTTAGGCTGCAATCTTGTCAGCTTTCATGTGCTAAGATGGGTCAGTCTGGGTGAGGGCACAGGCTGAAACAAAGGGACATCCCAGCCATGGTAAGTGGAAGAGGATGACATTTGCCTTTCACTGCCTTCTCTCTGCTCCTCTCTGATGTTTCAGGTTGCTATTCCGGGAATTGCGATCTTCAGCTTCAGAAGTACTGTTGACTACCTGGGTGACCCAAATCCATCTGTCAGGGAGCTTAATATCTAGAGGCAGCTACAGGAAGGAAATGGTGTGAAGGTGGAGGTAAGTTGGTGACAAATCTGCTGCAGCAAGTGTGGCTGGTGCCAATTAAAACTGGGTTTCTCTCTCTGGTGTTACTGTGGCCTATAGCAGAAGACACAGATTCATGGAAGGCCTGCACTTCTAACACTGTGCAGCAATAAAGGTTGTCTTGAAAACATAATAAAAACAAAAAGGGCTCACAATTCAGGATGTGTTGAATCCTGACTGGCAAGAGAGCAGCAGCAGAGATCTGCCTGGTTCCTCTAAAAAAGGAATACAACTTACCTTTTCAGTTGAAAGCACAAGAGTTTTTGTTTGTTCCCAAAGGGAGCTTTCCTTGCAGTTCAGGAGATGTTTTCACCCATTTAATCATGTCAAAGTGTCATTCATTACTTTCAAATTGTTAGTTAAATAATTCTTGTCTTTCAAAAACACGCATGGCAATAACAGTCCTCCCTCTCTCATATTTTTGAGAAATTAGTACTTCCCAGTGAAACTGCTTCACTGACACAAGATTCCTCCAGGACCAACAACACTCTGGAAGATCTTTTGTGTTCCATGGCCCAACTAGACAAAGTAGAATTTAGATCCTTGTAAATATATGTCTGGCAGCAATAACTAAATTAAACCTGCCATTGCAAATTCTGCATCTATATTAATTCCAACTTTTGGAACAATGCAACAGGTGAAGTCCAGGCACCTGAAAATAAGTGAGATAACCACTGAGCTTTCTCCTCAACTTGGTCTGGGCAAAGGCTGAAGTAAGAGCTGTCCTTAAACCTGTACACATGTTCTGAGGACTTGCAGAATTTACACAGTCTGTCCTCAACACACAGTTTCTTTTCATTCAGCTTCTGGAGAAACATCTATATGCATTGCAGAAAGATATTTGATTGTCTAAGCCCCAACCAGTATTGTTTGTGTACATCCTACTCTTACTCTGAAGCCTTATCCCATAATTACTGTACTTCCTGAAAAGAATGGGAGGAAAAAGAGCAAAAAAATTGTAAGTCCACTGTGTGTCACTAAGGACTGAAGTGGGGAATTGTCTGCAAAGTCTCTGCAGACAGCACTAAATGATTTAGGAAATATTCTTTAAGTATAAGCAACTGCTTCTGAGCACGATTTATTTGTGGTTGTTCTTTGGGATTTTTTTCAATAATGTGGATTATTTTCCACAGTGAAATGAAGGGAATCTCTCTCCTACAATCTACCCCAAGATGAATCAGATCATGTTCTGTTGTGCTGGTAAGCTTTATTGCTGTGTCAATACAGTTTTTCAGGATTCTAATGGATATGGCAGTGTACAGAGAAAATTAGGCTTGCATTGTGAAGTTCCTCCATCATAAAGCTTCAGATTAAGCAGCTGGGCTTCTGGGCAATATTCATGGTGTGCACTTGCGAGCACGGCATTCGCACAGCGAGGCGGAGGGGATGTAGTGCTGCACCATGGTCCCGTTGGGACAGCGCAGTGGGATCGTCACTGTGGTGGTCTGAGTGGCTGTACAGCAGCTGCAGTGGTCTTCCCACTGCCCTGTCTGAGCAGAGTACCTGGTGGTGCTTCTGCACTTGCCCTAGATGGAAAAAGAAGAGAGCTGAAGTTTGAACAGAGCTTCATGGCACTCAGAATCCTGGTTCTTTCCTTCAAAATATCTGTGGGTGACTTTGTCCAGCTTCTGTGCTCTGCTGAAAACATGAACTCAGAACAGGTGCCTGGGTCCAGAATGCAGGGTGCTGCTCAAAGAGTAACTTCTTATGAGCATAAGCAGAGCAAAGGAGAGGTGAAGAAACTGCTCACACACACAAAAGAGCCTGGAATTTAAAATCTCACACGGGAATGTCCAGAGCTATGGTGTTGGCTTCTGAGCAAATGTGGTTATCATGCATTCAGAAAGTGCTTTAGCCCAAATGCTGCAACCCACACACCCACTGTTGCCCTGCTGGTGCTATTATTTCTTGTTCTGCTTGTCTGGCCACTTAACTAAATTAGACCAAGCTGTCAGTGCCTCTAGCTATAATCCTTCATGATGTCAAAACAAGTGGCCCCACATAACACTCTGTCAGAGTCCATTTCCCTTGGTGGCTTTGTGCTCTTATTTCCCAGTCTAATTAAATTAAAATATCCTATAAGTATCAGGGACAACTTCAGAAAAAATGTACTTAACACTGTTTATTCCCAATGTAAAATCTGGACTTCTGCAGGAGAAACATCAATACTTATGACTTTATGGCTAAGGACCATTTACTTTGTAGACAGGACAAGAGTTTGAGAATTATTAGTTATGCCATAACTTGGATTGCACACAAGGGTTGATTACAATCCTTGTATGGGGCTTGTTTATCTTGGAAAGAGCAGAAATGGGAACACCCAGAAGGGAAGTTATGCTCCTGTTTTAAAAGGAAGTTGCCGTATGAAGTGTAAACCCAGATGGGCTGGAAATGAAATTTTTAATCTGATTATGGAAGACACAAAACATGCAGAACACAAGAGCTTGGTGCCAAGGCTAATTGAGGAATCCCAGAGCTTATAAGGCACACAAGTCAAATCTTGGCACTTGGGTTTAAAGGTCTTTTAAAATGCCATTTATCTAAATATCTATTTAAATTCACGTAATCGACCCAGAGGCTCAGTGCTTAACTGCATACTCAGAGCTGAAAATCAGCTTCACAAATGTGAAGATAAATATTCCTCTTTTTTAAAGTAGAAAGTCCTAACAGAGCTACTTCAGAGTCATTAATTTCTGGAATGGAAGCAATAGAGTGGGATGAACAAAGCCTTTGTATCTAACACGTGCCTTTTTTCATGCTGGTTTGACTGGGGAAAATTCAGCATCAGCAAATTACTTCAGGAAATAAGTGCCAATGAGGTTAACACTAAGTCAATAAATGCTCCAACTAATGCTCCACTCACTGAAGTGAAACCATGGTGGAAGAAAAGGTTTCCTTTAGGGAAAGAAAAAGCAGGGTTGATTTTTGTTATTTACCTCACAATGAGAAATGGGCACCTCCTTTTCGGCCACACATCCATTGATATTCCCATACTGCAGTCTGGTACTTACTGGATGACATTCCACCTCCACACCTACCAAGAAAAAAAAATAAAAAAATAAAAAAAAATAAAAATAAAGTGTTTGACACTGCTGGCAATTGCTTATTGTAACTCACTTCCCTTTACTCCTGAAATTGCTGCCAGTGAAATGTTCTTCCTGGTAAAATCCCTAGCTGAGTGTGTCTCCTTAGAGTAATTCATGCAGAGTTGTGTGACTATTTCACACTACAGCCCTAAAATTCCACTAGAGAAGGATTTTTCTCTTGTTTATTTTCAATTGACTGCTTTGTTCTAAAGTCACCTTGGCCATCAAATACCAGCCTCTCCCTGGTCTTTGACAACTCTCTTGTTAACTCTGGTAACCAACAGTTACTCTATTCTCCTGCTTTCAAAGAGAACCTCATCGTTATTATACTCAAATATAAACTAAGCCAGAATATTTTCTTCTGAACTCCTGCGTGTTTTGGTCTGCATCTAAAGACCCGTGAAGGAGCCAATGTTTTTTTCGTGGGTATTTTGTGCATAGACAACAACAGCTCTCTGTAGTGTTACTATAGTTTTATGTCTCTGTGAAAAGACAGACTCCTACTCATACCCATTTCTACCTAACCAACAAAATTTCTGTGTTTAACAGAATATTGGACTGATTTTTAGGTACTACCCAAAACATTTCAGAAAGCTGAAGGAATTCAGCAGGGCAACTGCACAACTAAGTACATACACAAAGGGAAGAGAAAGGTATCCACCTTCCTACCAGTAAACACAGCTTTCCATCAGAATGTTGGTACCAAATTGACTCTGTGCCTTGTTAAAACCTTAAATTTCATTAAAAAAAAAAATGCAGCTCGTTTCTGGTTCCAGGGCTGAACCACCCTCTTTTAATGATTTCATCATTCCTTCATAAAAATTGTCCACCTGAAAGGGCAGTTGTGTTCACACAATTGAAAAGCACAAAAAAAAAGTCATCAGCCTCAACACAGATTCATCCCCTTTTTGATCCTGACTTATCAACTTGTTTTCTAGTTACTTTACCTGTTATATACTTTTTTGTTGACTGTGCCTCCTCTGCAAATGCAAGTGCTTGTAACTTAAGACATGTGAGACTGAGACCAATAGAGAAAAGAGACATAACTTCTTTGTTAAGTGGGAAAATAAGGAATAGCCTTTGCCAATTATCAAGTCCTGTGGCTAATACCACAAAAATCTCATGAGAAAATAGGAGCTGTTCACTTGTGTGCTCCCACAAATGTAAAAGCTGGAACAATGTCCTCAGACACACTAAAAAAAGTCCAGTTGTGAAGGCACAACATAGGAAGGGAAACTAACTCCTCAACCAGCTCCTTTGCCCAAGGACTTGTTGGACTCTGCTGAGCCAAAGCCTTGACTTGAGGGAACAAGTTCTCAGCCCAATTCTTTATGGCACAGAGACATCTGAAAGACAGACTCTCTCAAGACCTTGGAAGATAATGTAACCTATGTCCATGAGAAACTGAGCTACATCCAGGCAAAACATCATTGGGAGTAAGGATTTCAAGGTCCACTCAATATGGGAGGTTTTAGGCAAGCAGCACATCACTTAGATCAGTTTGCCTTTGCTGCTGCAGGGAGGTATCACTTTTGAATGACTCTGTTAAATAAATCTATGCATTGATCTGTGCTCATTTGGAACCAGTTTCTCCTCTATTGCAGTGATTGGCCCTAGCTGCCCACAGCCCTGTCTTTTATATATCAAAATCTGCTTTTGTTAATAAATAATTTTGAGTATTCCTTGCTTGTAGCCTGGTAGATTAAAGCTCCCCTAACCAAATTACCTCTTTGATCCCTTTGATGACAGTCTCTGAATAGCCTTCTGACTTCTATCTCTCAAGCCAGAGTTCAGTGATTATCTAGAGAGGCAAAGGCTGCAAACTCTCTGGGAGTTACCATCCTTCATCAAGGGTATTATTGCAGCAGCTCCTGTGCCAGTGTGGCGATGGGCTGCTATGCTGGTCATCTTTTATTTATGAGCACATGCATTGCAAAAGTAAGAAGATTAAAAGACGTAACACAGACAAAATGTTAATATTCTGACCTTAAAAGAGAATTTCAATTCTTTGTTATATTTTTTAAATTTTATATAAGCTACAGTATTATTTTTTACTTACAGAGGAGAAAACTGAGAGGTTATCTGCTCACAAATGCATCAGTGATTCATTTTAGAAATGAGAACTCAACCCTGCACTCCTTCCTACTCTCACAGCCTGACTGACATCTGGATTATCCACACAAAGATGCATGAAATTAAGAGTTGCAAGATTGACCCCCAAACTGAAAAATTTAAGAAGCAGTCAGGCTATTCCATAGGAATGCATTTCCCCTATTTTTGGTTAATGTGTTATCAAAAACATTACTGCCACCAGGGTTGGGCTTTTTTGATTAATTAATTTTAAGTTGATTTATTATTCATTAAGTGTTTTCCTCAGATATTCAGTAGTGTCAGGTTATGTGACTTGACAGGCTGTCTGTGCAGGACTATTCCTGTTATCACCAGATGAACAATAAAATAAAACATTCATAATTAACATCTGCATAAAATGTGGAGAGTATCTATTTCTTTCTAAGCACTTGGGAATACTGTCAAAACACGTGTTCTAGATGACAAAACATGACAGCAGCATGTCAGAGGATGGGCTTCTTTGATGGTTTATTATAACCACATTGCTAAGCTCTGGTTCATTACATTGCATATTATGGAAAATGTAGGTACTTACACACTCTGCCTTTTCCATACAAGATTTCTGGATTATTTACTTACATGTGTCACAGCAAGTGTTGCCAATTTTTGCAATTCTGCCCTAAAATGATTTAAAAAAAAAGACAACTCAAATTTTGGCACAAGTGATGCACTTCTGCTCTGCTGAAAGAAGATGTATAAAGCACGGTACTAGGCAAAAAAAAAACAACTGAATTTTTACATTGTACAAAATCATAAGTCTACATTAATAATCTTCTCTTTATCAATTTTAAGATATTGAACTTGTGATGATATTTGCTAGTAGCTAACTG